GAGTGTGTGTGAGTGTGTGTGTGTGTGTGTGTGTGTGTGTGTGTGTGTGTGTGTGTGTGTGCGCGCGCGCGCGCGCTCGTGTACATGCCACATGTGCCTGTAACTCAACGTGACAGACGGCCACGTCTACCAGTGTCTCTATGTCGTGATAAAAACAAATAATATTCTGTTTACTCTGCATGTCTAACAAAACGAATAAAAAGCAGCAACAAAATATAGCACACCAATGATACCATCTCATCCAGATCAATACCTTTTTTTCCACACAGTTAGATAACAATGTATGCAATAATGGCTGTGAAATCGATCTCCCGTTCATGCTATTTAGCAGTAGTGTAATCATAAGCAATGTTATCACCCATAATTGCAACAACAGCAAATCGACATTAACGTTATTAGAATAGGCTTTCTATAAACGAGCGCCTCAAAAGGCTTGATGAAAAAAACCATTGCGAAATTGTATGGGTTTAACGTTGCAAAAAGGAACAAAATTAAAGGTAACTTGACTCAGTCTTGTAACAAAATTGACTTTTCTGTCACTTTTTTATCATCATTTATTAAAGTATACTTGTAACAGAAAAAGAAAAGACTGTCTTGGTCTACCTCTATGCTCTTAGCATATTTGGAGAGCATTGATGTAAAATGGCATTTTGGTAAATTGTAGGGCCTTGGCATAAATTATACTTTATCTTAGGAAAAAAAAATAATGAACATAATTTTGTATAGCGCATAACCAGCTCTACAGCAAGCTCAGTGCGCTTTACACTCTAGAATATTACCCCAGCAGACCATACAAACACTCAGAAACATTCTCAGCTTTCCGGGAAACATACAGTGCAAGCAGCTGCTTAAGCGCTCAAACACTAACAAACTGACAAGATCTTTCACAAGTATCCTCTCACTTGACTAGTGTGCGCCCGACACACCCACAACCCCTCATGGTTTCGATGGGTAGATCTAGATATCTATAACAATACAATTTCTATCAAAAACACAGTGATACTGCAACAAACCGAAAGACAAGCCTTTTAACAGTTCTCTTAACTCAAGGAGCAGAATAAGAATAAATTACAATTATTTTCTTCAGTGTTCAGCGAAGACTGTTTCATATCATGACCTGTGATAAGGTGTGGGTGGACAGATGACTCATGCTCTCATTTATGCCTTTAAAAACATTAAAACATTGTCGACCTGTTCTGTTCTTACCCTCACATTCCATAGAGTACTAGTAGCCGACACAACCTACCTTTGGAGAGAAGAACTGTACTTTATGTGTTATAAACCACGATATAAACCTCTCCCAAGCCAACAACCCTCAGCACACCATGCATGCATAGCAAACACTTGAATGATCTACTTGGAAATTCAGTCTAACTCCCTCCCATGGTGAAATGGTGTGCATGAAAAAGCCGTTGAACTCCGCAACGCTGATGAGAGAGAGAGAGAGAGAGAGAGAGAGAGA